ATCGGAGGGGATCCGAGTGGACATGGAGTCGGAGGCTGAGATGCGGGTAGCATTACACGGAGTTATTCCGCTACAGCAGACTTCGAGGATGAAGTCTAAGTTAGTGGGGGAGAATTTTAACATCCCAACGTCAGGAATATCCTTATTATTCCATTTAGATTTCATGTTTTAAGGTCTACTCGACGAGTTGACGCTATGACTCGTCGAGTAGCAGCGGGCCAAGACACGTCAATTAATGAGTGACTCTTCGAGTCGGCATGGGGGACTCGACAAGTAGGAGCTGGCAATGGAAACCCTAATTCTCAGGGTTTTTGCACCCTAGATATTGGACCATTAGCGCCTCCCACTGTCCTCTATCACCCCTTTGAGAGCCAAAAACCCTAATTTCCATGAGTGTGAGCTTGGAGGTGTTTGTGGAGCTTGAGAAGTGATTTTTGTGAAGGGAACTTGTAGATCAAGAGCCTAGCATAAAGGTTTTTTGTGGATCCAGAGTCTCTACTTCAGCTTGGGCAACGTTTTAGAGGTAACCAGCTGTCACCTTAACCTCTTTTCTCCTAGAATCATTCATAGGTGAAGACTAGGGTTTTTCTTTTTAGCTATTTATGAAAGGGATTATGGTTTGGGAGTTAGATCTGAAGTTGAAACTTCAGATCTAAACCTCTTTGAGTCCTAAGTCCATAAAGTTTCCAGCTCTTGCAAGGATGAGACTCTCCTAAGGTGTAAAGTTCCATTAGAAGCTTAGATTGGTCATTTAGAGCCTTTAGGACCTTGCATGTGTGTAAAGTTTGCAACCTTACGTGTTAATCATGCCTTAGAAGCTTGGATCTGTAATCTGGAACCTTGGCATGGATTAATAAGTGTATGCATGGATGAAGGTCTGCAAGGACTCGGCGAGTCTTATGAAGATGGTCATGAACTCGTCGAGTTGATGAACAAACTCGGCGAGTCGTTCGAAGACTCGGCGAGTCGGCTAGGGTTTCTCCCAATTCTTGGACACGTATGAACTCGACGAGTAAAGGGGAACTCGACGAGCCAATCAAGATTCACGACTTCTCGAGTTCAGGAAGGACTCGACGAGTCGGTAAACTACACTCGACGAGTCGAGTCAACATGGACTGTTGACTTTGACTTTGACCAAGAATTGACCAGTTGACTTCTAAGGGTATTCTGGTAATTTGGAAATTTATGAAAAGGGTTTTATGGTAACTATAGGTGGGGAGTTCGGTTGGTGATCCGGGAGTTGAGCTTCTAGTTTCAGACGTCAGTTGTGAGGTGAGTTATCCTCACTATATCAACAGGTCTAAGGCACCAAGGCCGACCCTTATGGATTTGTATTTGGATTATTACATATATGTGCATTGTGTCGCATCCTGTTAGTTAGGATGGTGATATGCTTACGCTTAGTGACCGGGTTCGGTCGATATCCTAGTTACAGGGTTATGCTATGATATGACTTGGGTAGGTCGGTGTCCTGGTTTTAGGACGTTGCTATGCTATTTGGTCTGTTAGATCGGTTTGTTTGTTATTATGATAGCCTATGAATGTATATGCACTGTTGTTTGATTTGGGTGTTGGGTTGAGGCGGTCCTGCTTTGTGCTGAAGGCCAACATACCCAGGGCGGTCCGGATAGACTATAAAACCCAAGAGGGTATGATAGTCAGACCGAAGGCCCGACGAGCGGTCCGGATAGGCTGAAGGCCCTGCGAGGCGGTCCAGACGTGCCGAAGGCCCGGAGAGCGGTCCAGATAGACTGAAGGCCTGCGAGGCGGTCCAGTCAGGCTGAAGGCTCATTATGCTTGCTGTTTGGTTAGATGTTTATATGACATGGTTATGTGGTTGGTATTTTGGGGGATAGCTCACTAAGCTTTCAGGCTTACAGTTTCAGTTGTTGTTTCAGGTACCTCTGGCGATCGCGGGAAGGCGAAGGCATAATCGTACCGCTCCTCTCGCTGTTATGACTTTTATGATTTGATACTGGGATACTCTGATAACTGTATTTTGAAAACAAATTATGTAATGACGTAACGGATTAAAATGTTTTTAAAAGTTTAAATTGGCTTGAATTGTTGGGTGTTACAGTTTTGCTCACCATTTACTTTGGGGTTTAGGGCTAGCAGCACACACTTCGATTGTACACCATTAGAGACCATTGGAGGCGATTTTGGGAGCTTGATACACATTCTTCTCATATTTCAAAGTAATTGTTAGTTTCTTGATGCAAAAACACTTTTGTGATTGTTATTTTGTTGCCATGAGTGGCTAGTTTCTCTATTTTGGTTAACTTTGGCTAAAACCCTTGGATATTTTTGGGTTTTGAAGGATTCATGCTTAGTTGTCATTTATCTTATGTTTATGATTCTGGTTCATATTTCTTATGCTTGTTTAATACTTTGATCATGAGCTTGGTACCTGAATGAGCAATTGTTGGTTTATTTCTTTGGTTAGCATTGAATCATTGAATTTACTTATAACAAGGGCGTTATGATGGTAGAAATCGTCTCTAGCTTATGAATCATGACTCCTTTAAGGATGTGTAAGCATTGCCATCCTCTAGGAATTGGGATTCCTTCATTCTTAAGGCAATCACTTTCTTCTTCTTCGGTCAATTGCTTCATTGAATCCTGATTTTGATTAAGAAGGTGCGTTGTGGACTTCCCCAACCTCCATACTACCTATGATGAATCTTGGCATATCATGCTTCATGATTGCTATAACCAATTTGGGATGAATGATAAACTTCATATTGAATCCTAATGATAAACACACAAATGTTCATTGTGTTGAATTGCCTTGGTTGACCAATTTCTCTCCTATATTTGAGCATCTCACCATCTTGCTTAATTGCAAGCTTTTTAGTTATTCGAGTTTTTTAGTTTTCAAGCAATCACAACACCCCCCTTTTAGTTTAATTGTAGTTAGTTAGCTTTATTACACTAGTTCTATTGGATTGCATTGGTGATTCAATACAACCATTTCCCCGAGGATCGATACCCCTTTTTACCATTATATTACATCTTATTTGCAAACAAAGGGTGTAATTTGCTCGGTGGACTTGACATCCCACCAACGCCCTGCGTACTTCCTATGTACGCCCTGCGTACAAAGGTTTTTGCCTTAAACCTTGCAATATTCCGAAGGCCATAACTCCTTCGTTATAAACCCGAATCGGACGATCCTTATATCCACGAAGAGGTTACGAGATGCTCTACATTTCTATCAACTCATACTTGCTTTAATATTTCCCAAACAAAAATCCAATTTCCATAAAGACTCGAGCCGTCATTTTACCAAAATGCCCCTTTGGTCCCAAAACACAAGTCGAACACCCAGATCATCCAAATTACATCATCCACCTCCAAAAGAACCCAAAACTCAATTCTTCAAGGGTCCTAAGCCTGACAATACCCACACCCTGATCACCAAGCCGAAATGGGAAACGATTCGAAACAGGACATTACAGTAAAGAGGTGGAAAAGCCACAAACTCATAAGCATAAAATATAGAAAAAATTACGTAAATAGTCCCTATGGTTTACCCATAGTCACAAACTTAGTCCATACTACTTGAAAAGACCAAAATACTCTTTCACTAACGGATGAACAGTAACGACGTCAGCAAAAATGGCCATTCATGCAAGTTTTGGAAATCACAGTCCACAGGTACCATGTTCGCAAAAAAATAGCAAGGATTGACGTTGTGACTTTTGTCAAACCACATAGACATTTTTTTTTAATTTTGTCTAAAACATATCTATTAAGATAAAACAATATAAATTTATAATTTCAAAATTGAAGCACAAAGTTGTATTAAGTATAAAATCAAATACAATGTAAAAAATATATATATAAACACAACAAATAATATTATGATTATAGTTAAAATAATATAAAAATAATGTTGAAAAGTAGTATTTTATGTAAATCGGAGTCAACTACTTTCATTAATTAATCCTCATGCCTGCAACCAAAACCTCCATGAAAGAGACTCCCAGTTTAAAACGCAGCTCAACTGCTTTCCCCCAAAATAATACTAATTTAATTGAGGAGTAGTAATCGATCCATTTGTTTTATCACTTCAAAAAAAATATGCAGAGCGAGATCCACAACACCATTGAAGAAGAGAAAAAATGTTCGTGTTCCCGTTGTATCTCTCCTACAGCTATCTACTGATCTGCTACGCCGGCGTTCACTTAGCATCTGCCGCCGTCGGCAAGAACATCTTCCTCTTATCCGGTCAGAGCAACATGTCTGGTCGAGGTGGGGTCGTGAATTCCACATGGGACGGCTACATCCCACCTGAATCTTCACCTAACCCCGCCATCCTCCGTCTCACCGCTAACCTCACATGGGTACCAGCGGCGGAGCCTCTCCACCGAGACATTGACATTGCAAAAGTATGCGGTGTTGGTCCTGGAATGGCATTCGCGAATTACTTGTTGAGAAAGAATCCGAGCATTGGAGTGGTGGGGCTGGTTCCTTGTGCGATTGGAGGGACGAATATCAGCGAATGGGTTCGTGGTGGGTATCTTTACAAGCAGATGATGAGGCGGGCGGCGGCGGCGGTTGCCGGAGGAGGCACCATCCGTGGGTTGCTGTGGTATCAAGGGGAAAGTGATACGCTCACTCTTGAAGATGCCGAAGCGTACAAGAACAGATTGCGTCGTTTTTTCTTTGATGTGCGTGAGGATCTTCATTTACCTGTTCTTCCCATAGTTCAGGTAACTCCATGTTCCTATCTTAATAGAAGTAAACAGTTTTTAAAATTTTAATTTACTACTAATACCATACAACCTTGAACCTACACAAATTTCCATAATATAAATAAAAAGACATTTGATTGGTTCAAACACAAAATTTTCAATCCTTTTGTGTTTTGTGGTTCTGATTGGCTGTTGATTCCACCCCCTTGACACCATAACCATAAGTCAGAGCTTTCCCCGACCCACTCTATTTTTTTTTTAAATAAATAATAATTGGTTTGAATGTTTTACTAAAAAGGAAAGATTAAGAAATTGGTTCGACTTTCAATCTTGCCGGACAAAACAATTTTGACTCTGATTTACCCAGATCGATAATCCGACTAGTGACGTTATGGAAATGTCAAACTGAGGTTATCCATTGATATTTTTTTTTAAATATGACGGGTTAATTTAAAAAAAAAATTAAATATAAAGGTAAAAATATTTGAAAACTTTAAATTTATAAAAAAATAAGAAAAATAATGAATTATTATTATAATGTAAAAGCTTTTTATTTTTTAAATTTAAACAAATAATTTAAATAAAAAAAGAAACTAATTAGTTTTAATTTTAGAAATTTTGAAATTAAATGGTAAATTTATTAATGAAATTGGTATCAATTTATTACTACATTTATTGTAATTATTATATTAAAAGATTATGTGAATTTAATAACATAGAAATATTCATAAAATGACATGTGAAAAAAAAATTAATTTAAAATAACCACAAAATAATATTTGACAAATTAAATGAGAGTATGACAAATGGGAAAAAAAAACTTTCATTTATTAAAGAGGATAGACTAAAATAGCCAAAATTCCTAACAATTCACTGTATTTAGTCATTTTTATCTAAATATTCAGTTTTATAAAAAGAAAATTAACTTATCTAACAATAATGTACTTGAAAACAAAAAAAAAAGTTTTGCAAAATTAACCATCTAAGTCTAGAATAGACATTCCGGAATAAGACAAAAAATTAGAGAAATTAAATTGTTTCCTACTTTTACGTCTATAAATATTTCTACCCATTAATATTATGACACCTGTCATCATTCCACAATTCAATTTAACTTTATTTGATAAATTTCTAATATACTCTTAATTAGATATTTAAAAAATATGGAACGGTGACACATCATAATTTTAATGAGTATGAATATTTGTAGGTATAATAGGTAGGAAACAATTTAATTTCTTAAAAATTTATGACAAAAAAGTATATTTAGGACCGACATGTCCGATTTCGAAAAATTTCGGAGTTCGGAAGAACAAAAACACTCCGGAATTTCAATAAAAAAGCCAAATCCAATTAACAATTTTAAAATTGCGAGAAAAAAATTATTTATTACTTAAACCTAAAAAAGATTAAACAAACATAATAAATATATATATTATGACATAAAATCATGTTACGTGACGAGTTACTACACTTATGATGCAATTAAATGGTTGGCTGGTCTTTAAAATTATAAAATAATCCTTAAATAATATTAGATGCATCAACTTTGGTTTATGATAACTTTCTAACAAAATTTAGAGCACTAACATACATACATAATACATATTTATATTGTACATACATATATTCATATAAACCATTTAATATGAAAACACAAATAATTTACGAAAATAACGAGAAATTTCAAAATGTAGATGATGTATTTATTTATTATAAATAATTTATAATTAAATACTAATTATATTAATATAATTAGGGACTAACTGGTAATTTTACTTTGTATAATAGTTTTCTTATATTTAACGCCCTTAATTAATTTCAAGGGAAATCTTCAGAAAAGTGTCAATATTTTCGAAAAAGTTACACTTTAGTTCCAAGATTTTTTTTTTTGAACGAAAAGGTCTTGAAAACTGACAAAAAAGTCTCGAAAAAGTCCCATTAGGCAATCTTTTAGTATTTCTTTATCTTTTACCTCTCTCTCTCTCCCATCCCCACCCCCCCCCCCCCCCCCCCTTTTTTTTATGTTGATATTTCATTTTTATTATTTTTTACCTTGAATAATATATTTTTGTAAATACACATTGCATAAAGGTATCTATAGTGGACTGTGAATGGGTAGTTTTGGACCCAAACCGAACTGAAATGGTCGGTTTCTAGTTTTCAAAACCCAATAGAGATGGTTCGGTTTCTTGAGTTTTGTAGTCGGTTTTAACGCTTTTCTGGTTTCTTGGGTTCAACACATATTCTTAATAAAGATTAAAAGTAAAGGCTGTCAATAGGGTCTTATGTAGTTATGTTTGATATTCTTAATTAGGCAGATTAAAAGAAACAAGTATAAAAAAAAAATACCATCACATACTAATCTACATCTGAGCTATAATCAAATTAAGGGAACAACTGTTTATAATACTTTCACATAAACACGTAGCTAACCGAGTACAAAAAACATACCTTTATTTTATATATATATAATATATATATATATATATATATATATATATATATATAATATATATATATATAATATATATATATATATATATATATATATATATAGGTAAATGTCACGGGTCGGTTTCATGTGGGTCGGTTTTTCGGTTTTGATGAGTCGGTTTCTGGATAAAAACCGAAACCGAAACCGATTTTTCGGTTTTTAAAAATTTTAAACCCTAACCGTCGGTTTTGCTTCCGTTTCAGTTTTTTCGGTTTCGGTTTTGATCGGTTTCTCGGTTTCTTGGTTCGGGTTTGCTCACCCTTAATAGTGGTATCAAACTTGTATGTTTTTCTCCCAATAAATGCAACCTTACCTGTTTTTTATCAATACAATCATTGATTGGTATATAGTAAATTTGCAGCCTATCAACTTATTTTTTACCCTGAAAAACTACATTTTTTGTAAATGGACGTTACCGACCTTGTATGTTTTCTGCTTATAAATACAATAGTATCTACCTTTTATCAATACAATTGTTTAAAATTCAAATTATAAATTGGATCATACTATATATTAAAATTGATAACCAACCGGTACATATTAAAATTGACTTGAAATCGCAGGTAAAGTAGGACGAAATCGTAGATTCTATGCCATGTGCGACTTCATCACTCCATAGTCCTTTTTAGAAAATTGAAGGGTTTTATAATTACATATTATTGGGCTGGAAATGGGGCGATTTATTATCCCACATAGAAAAATCGCAAGTCAAATAGCCAAATAGGTGTCTTGATCACAACGAGTGGTTGTTTTTGAAATAGATGTTTTGGATAAAGATGACTAAAATTTTAAGATTTTTGGCTATTTTCATAATTTTCTAAAAAAAAATGAAACAACCCAAATTGTTGAGTTTTTTCCAAAAATGAACCAAAAATTAAGAAAATTTCGCATATAGTCACTAATTTCGTCGTGCCCACTACGAAATGCCCAAAAAGATTTCTTTTAGACAGACGGGTGTGGGCAACGCGGACATCGCGTTATCTGACGTGGCACGCGCCTTTAACGGCGCCATAACGCGGAACACCGTCCCAGGTAGCCGTTATGGGACGTTACACCATTACCCGTTACCATGGTAACGAATGGTAACGCCATTTTTTTGACCGTTGCAAATTTTGTTCGGTTGAAAAACGGTAATTACGTTTAATATAATACGGTGAATTCTAAAAAAAATAAAATTACTACTTAAAAAATTAAATTATATCAATACATATACCTCATTTTATTACACTTCTATTTCTCTATATCTATCTCTATTTCTCTATATCTATCTCTATTTCATTCAAAACAAAAAAACCACTATGGATCAAAACCCGAATACCCCTCCTCCGAAGACAAACACATCCACTCCATTAGGTTTTGCGGGATATGAGGGATACATGAACCTTCTAAACTCCCAAAACTCACCACAAATTCCTTATTCCGGTAATTTTTTCAATCCCGCCTCACCCCCACTACAATTCCCTACCTCGCCATTTATGCAACAAAATGCAAACATTCAACAAAACCTTTTTAACACATCCGGTCCTATGCGCCAAACAGTCACACAACCCCCACCCATGCAAGAAACCGTTGTCGAGACGCAAGCCGGGGGTAGTCATAAAGCATCGAGGAAAAAGGGAGACCAAAAAAGAAAGGGAAAGAGGTCGTGGTCGGGGCGGAAGAAACAGAAGCACCTCCAACATGGTGGACAGCGGAGGAAGAGCATGCGTTGGCGGTGGCTTGGTGCGGTACTTCAAAACAACCAACTGTGGGGAACGATATGAAGAGAGTTGCTTTTTGGGATGCCGCAATTGTCAAATTCCGCACAATTTTGAACAACGGTGACACATATCGCAATAATGATATGCTTAGTGGCAAGTGGACTCAAATTAGCCGGAAGTGCACCAAATTCAATTCCATAGACAACAAACTTTCTTCGCAACGTCAAAGTGGTGTCAATGATTTCGATGTGTTTAGAGCCGCGAGGGAGGAATATCACGTGCAAAATGGGGCACGTATTTGAGTATGAAAAAGTATGGGACATAGTGAGGAAATATCCAAAATGGATGAAAACGCCAACATCATCGGAACAACAATCAAAGAGGTCTCGTGGTTCGGGTTCGGTTGACGTTTCCGACGAACACACGAACATCGACCTCAACGCGGACAGCGATGAGATCCCGGACGAGTTTGATGACATCGAGGAAATCTCTCCGCCATGACGATCGATGGGGCGCGACAAAGTCAAGCGCGCGCAACGACATGCACAGGAGAATGAAAGTCAGCTTCGAGAGCACGACGAAATGAAAAAAAATTTGACGCCCGCACGGAAATCGCAAATAAAAGATATGAATTGCAACGGGCTGAAGTGATACGGAGGATGAAGGCAAAGATCGAGAGCAAATACTTGGGCGAAGAATAGTTTGTCGGTGTTTTTATTTTAAATTATTAGGACTATCGTGTGTTTTTTTTTCAATGTTTTTATTATTTTTTTTATGGTATTTTTAATTTACTATTTAATGAAATTATGTTTTATTAATTT